AACCCTCATAACTCGCAAAGTAGTGCTTAATAAAAATGAACATTATATGTTGTTTTGGAAAGCTCTTGAATTAAGCTATGAATATCAATCATTGGGGTGTCATTTAAAAAATCAATGTTGACCTTGACCTCCTAGACCTATCCAAGGTCCAAACTGATGAATCAGTATATAGATCTTCTAAACCCTACAACTTTGTTGGAAACATTTTCTGTTAAACGCTGATATTTCGAGATTATTTAGGTTCCACACTTTGGTAGACTTCCTTATATATATATATATATATAATTTGCATGTATATATAATGTATAATAAATGTAATACATATAGACATAATGAATAATATTTTTTAATAATGAAATCTTCTCTCCAATATGTATGTATGATAAACACTATAAATGTAATAAATTTATTGCAAACTTACCAATTGATGTCGATTATATATTATAAAGTCCCCATTCCACGTATCAGACGTCACAGGGTATGAAATTCACGGCTTCTCTTCACTGTATATGTCATCATTACATTGAACCGTCTAAAATTGTAATTCTCGTTCCATTGTTCACGTACAGGACAATAATTTATTTTGATGGAACATCAGTAGCTCCGTTATATCAAATGAAATAGTCTGTATGCATTTGTGAATGGACGAATTTCTTTATAACTTCACTTAAGTAGTGAAAAATATGGCTTGCTAAAGTTATAAAATTTATTCAAAATTGTATTGATATGTTAATAAAAGGTATTACAAGCAAATATAGATATATATAATATATATATAATATATATATATATGTATATATATATGTATATATATATATATATATATACATATACAGGGTAGGCCCTTTAATCTTACGCACTGAAGTATCTCAAGAAATTCAAGTTTAGACAAAAATGTTTCAGACAAAAGTTATATGGTTTTTAAGGCCATAAGAAGGGTACCATTGATTAATATTGAAGAGTTATCTGAAGATAACGTGAAGGTCACTTCCAACTTTTTAAATGGAACTGCCTACTTTTTCATTATATATTCTTGTAACTTATCTTGAGGGTTTTCCGAAACACTATAATATAAAATATTTTTCCTTTTCAAGTAATTTCGGAGTTATAAAGGCTTAGAAATAATTACTTAATTTTACATAAACCATAAATATTCTATAAAATAGTTCATTTTTTAATTATCTTACCTTAACTTTTATGTACAAAATAATGAGAGAAAACCAATTTCGTATAAAAAAAACACATAGTTATTTTTAAGAAAAAATATTGTAAATGTGTTAATTGCAAAAATACATATTTTGTTTCTTGAACACTATGTGTTTTCTTTACACCAATGATTCCTCTCATTTTACATATAAAAGTATTAAGGTAAGATAATTGAAAAATAAATATTTTACCAAGATATTTTATGGTTTATGTAAATTAATTATTGCAAGCCTTCATAACTCGGAAGGCAATTAACGAAACACTAAACTTAATTATAGTGTGTGGAAAGCTCTCGAAAAGCTAACCAAGAATATGTAATGAGAAAAGGTAGTTCCTTTTAAGAAATTGAAGGTGACTTCATGTGACATTCTAATAACTCTTAAAGGTCAAACCAATGATACCATCTTATGTCCCCCTCAAAACCATACAACTTTTGTCTGAAACATTTTATTTGCTGGCTTAGTTTTTGAGATATTTTACTGTCCAAGTTTAAAATGGGAAATTATGCAATATATAATATATATTATATATATATTATATATATATATATACAGGGTGTCAATAAAGTCCCGGGACGGCTGAATATTTTTCTCATGTAAGTGTATTTTTGAAAAAGGTCAAGGTCATTTCTGAAGAAGTAATTCTTCACGAGGAATCAACGGTGACCTTCAATTTGACCTTTGAGCTTTGACCTTCAATGTTATTTGAAGGTCAAAATGTTTTTTTTAAATAGGAACCCTATTTTTGATTGTATATTTATAGCTGACCTCGAGAGCTTTCCAAAAACACTATAATAAAATATTTTTCCCTCAAGCTTTATCGAGTTATAGCATGCTAAATCATTTCTTAATTTACATAAAAGCCTAAAATATCTTGTAAATATTCACTTTTCGATTATTTTACCTTAATACTTTTATGTACAAAATAATGAGAGGATCTCAATTGGCGTTAAGAAGAAAACACTATAGTTGTTTTTAAGAAAAAATATAAATTTGCAATTAACAATTCCATATTTTTCTTAAAAACAATGTTTCTATTAAACCATTTAGATTCCCTCTCATTATTTTGTACATATTAAAGTATTAAGGTAAAATAAATCGAAAAGTGATATTTTACAAGATATTTTACGGTTTATGTAAAATTAAGAAATGATTTGAAGCACAAACTCGAATTAAAGCATTGAGGGAAAATATTTTATTATAGTGTTTTGGAAAGCTCTCGAGGTCAGCGTATAAGAATATACAATCAAAAAATAGGGGTCCATATTTTAAAAAAACACTATTGACCTTCAATATAACCTTGAAGGTCAAAGCTCAAGGTCAAATTGAAGGTCACCGTTGGAATTCCTCGTTTGAAAATTAACTTCAGAAATGACCTTGACCTTTTTCAAAAATACCTTACATGAGGAAAATATTCAGCCGTCCCGGGAACTTAATTGACACCCTGTATATATACATATATAGTTATAAATTAAATAAATATATATATATATATAATGTTTAATTTCAATTAAAATATAATAAATTATTACAATAATTAAATCATATATGATTTGAATAGTTTTTATATAAATATTTTTGATGCAACGGTTTAAATTATAAAGGAAATGGTCCAAACTTGATATACTTTCAAAAGATAAGTCTATATATAAATTGAAAAATAGTGTCTTGCATATCTTATATATATATCTAATGACATTAAAGGTAAAATATGGAAATTAATAGTAAAAATATAGAAATGATAATAAAATGAAAATAAGGTATATGAAAGATAAGTAGGTTAAGTTTAAATGAACTAATATAATATGAATTTAAATAAAAATTAGTAAGTCATTTATTAGTATAGAGTCATTACTTTACTTGTCTTTTACATATGTACGGATAATCTGCCAAAATATCTCTTCAGTAAAACTCATTCGTAATAAACGCCATATACTGGATATAACTATAATTATACAATTTACATCAGAATATAGAAGATAATAGTTATAGTTAAATAATAATTAATAATTATAGTAAAAGTACATAAAACATTACATCACTGATTTCATCATCATTTGCAAGATGTTATAGAGAAAATTGTCTTGCGAATTCCGGCGCAAAAAAAAGTAAATGAGAGGCGACATGTGTTTAAAAGATATAACAAGTTAAAGTTTGATCAATATTTAATACTTTTCTTAAGCAAATGATATTACAACACATTAATTGGATTGACAATTACATATTTTTTTTTAAAAACAACTACGCTTTGTTACACCAATTGATTCGTCTCATTATTTTGTACATAAAAATGTATTATGCATAAGATAATCGAAAAATGAATATTTCACTAAATATTTATAGCTTATGTAAAATTAAAGATATTATTTTTTAGCCTCATAAATCGAAAAGTACACAATGAAAAAAAACTCTTTTTTACAAGCGTTTTGACAAGCTCTCGAAGTAATACACAGAATGTAGTTATTTGAATAAAAAAAATAGAAATTTTCATATAAAAAAGCATTAATAGATCTTATCCTGACTTTGATAAGATCAAGTCCATATTTTCATCATGTGTTTCCCTTTAAGCTATGCAACTTTCGATCAAAAAATTTTTCAATAATATTTATCGGATTTCGAGATAATCGACTGTATCACTTAAAAGAAACATCCTGTATATATAATATACTTGTATATATAATTTTATATTACTACAGCTCTATTATATAGTATATACACGTGCAATATGTAAGAAGAGTATATAAAATTAAAGTTTTTATCAGTTATTCTGTTTGTTCTTTATGCATTTATATTCAACAATCTACGATAATCAATTTTTAATTATATTATCATACCTTTAATGTAACTGTAATGTTGAAAATAAATGTCGAATGATGTATTATGTAAAGTGATATTCAATAATATACAGTATCTAAATGAAAAGAAAAGTCCTGTTGAATTTGTACCACAAAAAGGTCCATCATCCGGGTTACTTGGAGAGTCTAATAGAAAATAGTTTAAATGTATTTACTTAATTAATTATTATATTTAACTAACTATAAGCAATTAATGCATTTAGAGCGTGTTAACTTTCGTTGGTATATTGTTAAAAAAAAAAAATTTAAATTATCACTTTTCTTAATTTTAAAAAACCATTTTTAAAAAAAAATATAGGAATAAATAATTTAAAAATGTAATGATCTCTCTGATGGCATGTATGCTTGATATGAAACATGCATAACAAATGCCCGATTAATTTAAATCGACATCTCGAAGATCCCGGAAATAACACGTAATTTTTCTTATATATTCTCGGTTATTTTAATTTGATTGTTTTGTAAATACATGTGCAATGTTTATTACATTATTTGATCAAAATTTAAATTTATTATGTTATATTATGAAATTATAATTTGTTATATTATTTAATCAAAATATAAGATTAATATGTGCAAAACATTTATATGAGAATTTGTTTTTTGTTAAATAGGCTTTTGCTATGGTGGAAAGAATGGACATATTGTCAAGGTTTAAAAATATTGTACTATTCTTTTAACAATGAAAATTCTCCTTGGTGGGGAGTATATCGTCTGGGAAAAGAAAATTTAAAACTAAATTTTTAAAATATCTGTCTTGCCCTGCGTATTCACAATTTATCAATCCCTATTTAAACCTAATAAAAATGATAGTACAACATCGATTATGTTTTTCAAAGATTTTTCCGATAAAGATTATATTAATTATTTTCTTTTTACTATCGCGAAGCATGCCAGGAATCCTGTAATACTCGACTTCATATTAGAAAACATATTAACATTGATAACATAAGACCCAGGTAATACAGCTTCCTTCGTAAATATATATCTATCATTCAACAATTTATGTATCAATAAATTTATTATTTTACTGTTATAGACAAGTCAGCGAGCATGCAACATTTATTGTTATTATTAATCATGTGTATTCTATAGATCATTTGAAAGAGGTAAAAATTGCACGTGTCTATATATGTATATGTAAAATTAATAATTATGATGTAACATAAATTTGTTATTTAACATTGTTGTTGAATATTAAAATAATTTATTTTATAAATGTACTACTTTCTAACAGATAAATTAATTAATGCAACAGAAGTTGAATTAAATAAATGTAAGAAGTTATGGTTTTTTATGAAAGAGAGAAATAGGAAAGTAAAAATAAATTTTATGAATATTATACTAATATTCCACTTATATTCATTTATTAATCAGTAATTTTTTGCTTTTATACAGTATATATTAATGTTACGGTATCCCAAAGTAACAAGTAAAAATTAAATGTCATTTAATTTCTTTTATGAAATAAGCATTTTTTATTTTTAATTTCCAAAAATACTATTTCTAAAATATATATAATTTTTAATAGAATGACAGAGTTGGAAAGAATGAGTGAGCAAGTGACAAAGTAAAAAAAAGAAGAGAATTTCTTTACTTGGAAACTTTAGTAATTTTAATAAAAATCGATTTTTATAAATTTTGAAAAGAGAATTTATAAGCTTTAGATTTAAATCTTAGTTAATCTAGATGTTTAACTCTTAGTTAAATAAATTTAAATATTTTTCAGTATGATTGGGAGAGATATTACGTAATGTGATTCGCATACTTTAATATTATACAAGTCATTAGTTTATCAAAAATTTAATTATGATTGATAGGTTAACACGAATTAATGCAATAGTCTGCTAGATATATCAATTATTATAATAATATTTCCTCTGTGATAGCCGTAACTCGTATAGGATTCTAATTTTATTTTTAAAATCACTAATTCCAAATTCTATAGATTTCTATTTGTCATTACTTACAAAATTATTTGTAAACATTCCTTACAGACAAAAAAATTGTTAAGTAAAATACAGTGCAATACTATGCACATAATATGATAGAACACATAATACAATAAAAGAATGATTTTTGTATCAGTAATTTTCACGATATTTTTTCGCCTATGCTTTTCTATAGAGATTAGAAATGATTTATTTTAATAGAAATCTAGAATTGAGATTTATTCAGTTATTTAGTCGCGGAAAAAATATATTTCATATACAACAACTTATTTTTAAAAAATTAATTATTTCTGAAACTGAGGCACTATTATTCACATTTGGTTCTCTCTTAAGAGAAAAATTAGTTCGAAAAATTTATATTTATATTTCGCATTTAGAGTTTTACTCATTTTTTAAAAATTCATGTCATTTTGTTCGATTGCTGAATTTTTGATGAAGATACGAAATCTATATAAAAATCGACATTAATTGATTAAAAATGTTTACAAACTTATAAACCAGTTTTTTTTGGGATAACTAAAATTTTGACTCTGAGAAGAAAAATTGTAATTTTTATAATGTATAATTATTATTTATTCTTATTATATATTTAAGATTATTGTGTATATATTATATATATATATATATATATATATATATATATATATTAATTATATTATATATTATATATATATATATATATATATATTAATATAATTATATTTATATATACACATACACGAGATCATATTTAATGTAATATTTATTGATAATTGATTATTGGCTATTCACACTAATACTTAATATCGACATAATCTGTTTTAGATAAACAAATTAACAGAAAGCTACAAACATATGGCAATGTATTTACCAATAAATAGCACTATAAACCAATATGTTTTAAATATTCAAAGCAAGATACGAAGGCGCAATTTCGAAATCAGATGTCAAAAAAATTACTTTAAGAATTTTATGAAATATCAATAATATCCGTTTAAAAGTAACAATTATGACGCAAACACATCTATATATCTTTCTTACAAATAGCATTTTATAATGTTTATAGTTATCGATTTATTATTTATGCTTATATGTGTTAATAATATATAATTAAATACACATGCATTTACAACGATACTTTGTGGTCTGCAATTAACCAGTATTTTTCTTTATTAACATGAAATAATACAAAGTGTTAATTATATTCATAATTATAAATAATTGAAATTAAATAATGTTATATTACATGAATAATTTTAATCGCACAAATGAGAAAGGATCTAATATTTGACATTATGTATATATATATATATATATATATATATATATATATATATATTATTAATGATATTATATATATATATTATATATACTAAAAATATATTATTGTACCTTATATGTACCTTTATTTATTTTCATCAAAATTATTATCCTAATGTAAGTATTCCTGTAAAGCTATCAGTCAGCGCTTATTGTTGATTAAAAAGTTATTAGCCAAAAAAATATGTGAAGAAAGTTATTTGCAAAGAAATTAAATAGTATGTTAATATAAGAAATCTGTCTCAGAAAATGATACATAAATATTTAGAAATATCAAGATAATAATTTTCTAAGTTAATTATTTTTCAAAATGTACATAATATTGAATATGTAATATTGAATATACATAATATTGAATATGTAATATTGAAAATGTACATAATGTACATACAGCTTAATATTTTTCTATTGTTTACTTATCTAAATTACTTCTTTGTAAGCATAAAATCGTAGTTTTGTCATCAAAAAGAATTGGAAGATTTTATTTTTTGACAGCGTGGCATTGTTCGTTCATGAACATGTTATTGTCTATGAGGTTGTAAACGTATAGTGTCATGAAAATTTATTAGAAGTCACTGATACCATGAGGCCAAGCAAACAAAAGTTTAATTTGGTGCATTTGAGGTAGGTGAACTTGACAGACGGTTCCTAAAACGATTACCTCGTTTGTTTCCAAATGTGTGTATATTGTTCCATTCAAATATATAAGATCTCTCCTTGCACGTATATAATCGCATCGTTTGTAACATTAAACAAATCGAATATGTGAACTTATTTATTTAATTTTTTCCGCAAATTTAATATTATTCGATATATCCTTCAATATTATTTTTACATTGAAACTACATTGCATATTAAACAAATTTAAACCATTAATGTTTCCTGTGCTTTATTGAAACTTCTAATTTAAAGCTATATGATAATATGTACTTCATTAAATTTTATTGTAATTATACATAATATATTCTTAGACAAAATATTTAAATTCTCTCTAATTCTCTCTTTCTCCCTTCCCCGCCTCACTCACTCGCTCACTCTCTCTCTCTCTTTCTCTCTCTCTCTCTCACGCACGCACGCACGCACGCACGCACGCACGCACGCATTGTTGGACTTATATATTTTATTTATTCTTTTTTTTTTTTTCGACAAATTTTATTTTCAATTATTTCTTTCTTTCCCTATTTATTTATATTTTTGTTATATGTTATGTTTGAACTTTTTCATTTTTACGTGAAATATTATTTCACATGCGCCATTAAGTTGTTATTATGTAATTTTCATACAACGAGTAGATAATTCAGCGTATACTGCAAATCTTAATAATCTTAATAATCTAATAATCTTAATAATCTTAACAATCTAATATATTATATTTACACGTATAAATGTAAATTAGCGGAAGCTTTTTTTATACGTTTCCTGCTGCATAACTTATATGTAGTTGATATATTTTAGTTTAATACATTAAAACGTGTTAATTAATCATATTTAAATGCATTAATTTAATATTTAAAATGTATATTTTAAATGTAACATAAATGTACATTTTATTTTTCGTTTATTCGCCGGACATGTCCGACTTATAAATTTGATTTAATATCTGAAATTCCTCTATTGAGTTTATATCAGAAATTAAATCGTCTTCTAAGTCGTCTTCTGCAAGCTTTATATAATTCTCAAGACTAAAACTAAATACTAGAAAAATAGCGCATCGTAGTGGTAAACAAACGAACTAGCGATTACTGATTTTGCAGTGAAATTTTACTTCCACTGACTATAATTAATGAGATATAAGATAAAGTAACAAAAAATAAGCGTTTCTACTAGAATTCAATGAAATATGGATTCTTAGTGATCTTATTTATATATCTGTAAATAGAAATTAATATAGTTTTTATAATTATATGTATATGAGAATATATAATAAGATAACTTTTAATTATGATTCTATAATATGGTTACTCGCTTTAAATCATTAATGAAGAAATACACACTTGTGTATAAAAGATTTATATTGATTTGTACAGAGCAATTTAATTCAAATTGGTTTAAAGCCAGAGATATGAGTTATAATAAAAATGGCAATATATTCATCATCCATCAATTTTTTCAAAAATACATCTAATTCTCAATTTAGAATATATTAAAAAGTCATTCGACAGTGTTTGAAGCTGTTGTAATCTCTATACCATACAATCTTGATGATAAATGTTCAGTGGTGTTCGAAAATATCTGGAATAAAAGATTTTAAGAACTTTGTTTCTTATAAAATCACATAACATTATTTGTATGAAAAGATTTATATTACATTTATATTAAATATTAATAAATAATATTAATAAATATTAAATTACAATAATTAAAATTAATAATTAAAATTAATCCATATATATAATATCCAATTTTTTAAATATATATTTAATTGGAATATGTGCCAATTTTATTGGTAGTGCCAAGTTTTTTTACTTAAAATTTTTTTTTCTTTTTTATTTTATATTAATTTGTACAAGTTAACTTGTACAAATTTTCTTTCTCGTATTTCTATTTATCTATTATATATTAATCGCACATCATCCACGCGACTATCGCCATTTACTATACGTAATTTAATATAGTTTTTATCACAACGATTCATCATTGAAAATAAGTTATAACACAAAAAATATTCTCGTTTATTTCTAAATATTAAATGCTATAAATATTGAAATTGAAATAAAAAAATTGTCTTAAATAATAATAATTAAAAATTAATTAAACAATTGACAAGCATAAATAATATCTAGTAATTTATTTTAATGACTAATTATACTTAATAGATAGAGAGAGACTACAAAATTTATTTATATTAGAAATTTATTTAATATATGCAAACGTTTTGCGTTAAGGGGATGCCGGAGTCTCAGCCGAACTTCGACGGGTAGGCGCCCTCATTTTAACATAACTAAAAGTGTCGGTTCATTACCAACACTTATAGTTATGTTACCGACAATCTTATTTAATATAAAAAGACATGCATATTTTGGAAAGAGCAATATGAAAACTTTTTTTTATATTGTGTTAATTGTATTTATTGAAACAAAAAATATGTTGCATTTTCACTCTATCGTCTCGCACAAGCAATTTAGAGCATAGATCTGTCTTTACTGCGTACATATTTAAACATAATTCTAATATCATTGCTCTCGTTTAGCTATGTCTTTTTATATATATAATAAAAATATATTGTGAAAATATTTATAAATATTATGTACTTATAAATTTTACGAATACGATATTACAGCAAACAATTTGCATAAACATTTTATATTGTTAGTTTTTGATTATATCGATTTAACAAATGTCGTGCATAAATTGTAATTTAGAGTAGAAAGTTATATGCAAATATCTTTTTTATTGTATATACAGAATGTCGCAGAGTACTATACATATATAAGCGCTTGTAAAGAGCGCAGTAAATTGAAGAAACAAGTCCCAGCATTTTACAATTTTCGTATTAATAGAAAGAAATAAAATAAAGTATAATCAAAAGCTAACAATATAAAATGTTTTATGCAAATTGATGTAATGTCGTAAAATTTATAAATAATATAAATATTTTCATAATACATTCTTTATCTCAAAAGCATAATAATAGATTTATATCGATAATATAATAGATTTCATCGTCCATTTGCAGACGCAACCATAATATATTTTTTTCGTCTCTCTGATATATGCAAATGAGATATTTGTACTGAGACGTCTTTTTCTAACGATATTCATTGGAATATCTTGATCAGATATGATAAATGTAAGATATATGTCAAATGTAAAATATATGAATAATTTATCATTTTAGAAAAGGCAATTTATTTTCTGCTATAATTTAAAAAAAAATGTTGCTTTGTACATTTCACATTATTGAAATATTTTTCCTTACAAGGATTTCCTTCTAAGGCTATAGTTTATAGTAGTGTAAGGAAAGCCACAGCATATGCTATCAAGTTGAAGCTTTTCAAATATTATATTATTTGTAGGCAACGGCAATGAAAGTAATTTTTTTTAGTCACCAATAGACACCACACAGCCGGGTAGGCTATCATACATTCGAAGCTTGGTGTTATCAAAAAGAGTCGTCAGCAATCAGTGTAATTTGCTCCAATAATTTGTTAGCTTTTGTCGCTATATGACATGCTACAATTACATAAGAATTATCGCAATATATAGCACATTTTCATAATAAGAATCCTCTTATAACATGTAAAAATCGGTTCAATGATTTATTTTATCTGGATTTTTATTCTTATCAAATATGCTTTTTAGTTGAAGCAGTGTCTTTATAATCTCTGAATTAAATTTTGTTTAAATTTCGCTTCCAGAATGCACATGCAAATCGTAACTGATAAATCATTTTTTAACAGTAACCAGCACACAAATTAAGATCGCTTCTCGAATTTTTTTTGAATAATCAACATACAAATTAAATTGACTCTAGATTTTTATTGAATAACCAGCACACGAATTAAATCGTCTCTGGAATACTTTTCGAATAGTCAGCATCAGAATTAAATCACCTCTGGATTTTTCTTAAACCAGCACACGAATTAGATCGCCTCTGGAATTTTTTTAATTATCAGCTCACGAATAGATCGCCTCTGAAATAAATATTTTAATAACCAGAGCGCACATGCAAACCGCATCTGATATGAAATATTTCTAAAAACAACCAGCACACGAATT